AATTGTGATTGCATTTGTTTTGTTTTTTTGTTTATTCATGTTAATTTTCAATCTCTCCCTTTTCCTCCGTAGGCTTCAACAAGAGCTGATGACGCTAATGGTGAGACCTTTTTATACAGCTGGTATTTTGTTTGGCCTTTTTAACTGTAGTTTGTTAACTCAGTGCTTTGTTAAATGCAGATGTCAGGAGACAAGGGCATATCAGCGTTTCCAGAGTCTGACAATCTCTTCAAATGGATTGGCACAATAGATGGAGCTCAAGGAACGGTAAAAACAACTGTTGTTTTCTTCCCCGTGATGTCAGGAAATGGGTTTCTTATGTGCAACATACTAATCTAGATAATTGGAAGATTATACTTAAAACCATCTTTTTTGTTCCTGATCAGGTTTATGAAGGTTTGAGGTACAAACTTTCACTGGAGTTTCCTAGCGGGTACCCCTACAACGCCCCTCGGGTGAAATTCATCACTGCGTGTTTCCACCCAAATGTTGATGAGAATGGCTTCATTTGCCTAGACATTTTAAAGGACAAGTGGTCTGCACTATATGATGTCCGCTCCATTCTATTGTCCGTTCAGAGTTTATTAGGAGGTAGGTTATGCTTTTGATATGAGTAGTGCTGAGCAAAATTCAGAAACTTGTATAACTTTCAATTCATGAGTTGAAATTTGGCCACAACCTTCAGGATGTTTACTTGAAATTAAACCACAACATGAAACACGTTTTGTGACACTATGATTATGCCCTGATAAGTAGAAAACTGTTATTCAGATCTTTATTCATGTAAGGTCAACTGCTTTCTCCTGTTATGTAAAGCAGCATGTCTGTTCTGTTTTTTTGTTGTTGTTTTTTTTTTTTTTTTTTTTAAATATTTTTTTACGAATATCTTTAGCAGGTTTTAAAAGCCCTTTAAAATTAAATATGAACACAGTCTGGATTAAATAAAAGTACAGTCAAATGTTATCTCCTGTATAGACTTAATTTACTAGCTGTCTTGTCTGGATCATTGTACTCATGAAATTTTGATTTTAGAACCCAACAATGATAGTCCAATGAACTCTACGGCTGCTGAACTATGGGATGATCAGGAAGGTAATTGATCATGCCAGAGTCAAGCAGTTGTTTGAAACAGTATTTTTAGAGAATTGTTTCTTGTTCAGTGTTTTGGTAAATTATGCATCTAACGCATTTCTAATCACTTTTGTTGCAGCCTTCAAAGCCCATTTGAACGCAACCTACAAGAACTGACCATGAACATTAACGTCTGCCTCTTGTTTTATCTGTCTGTTTTCTTGTTCGTAATAATGTAAATTTTCTGTAATGGGTCTCTGTATATTATTTCCATGTTGTAATAAACTTGCCTGAATAAAATGCTGATTGAATTGAGTTTGTGTCCCTAATTATTGGAGTAAAGGGAGCGAAAATAAGACCAAAATGTTAAATATTTGATATATAGAATATAAAGGCTTTGTAGTGCACAACTGATCAGGCAAGAATATAGTTTGAAAAATGCTCTGTTTAATTTAAAGGTTTACAGAGTACAATGGTCAACAATTGTAACTTATGTTATTGGAAAAAAAAAAAGTTATTGCAGAATGTGTCTCAATTTCAAAATTTATATTTGACCCAGTTCCAGAACCTAGCTAAGCAGGCATAGTAGACAGCCTACTTTGCAGTTGTGGTGATTGCAACAACCTGATGTGTTCTTTTGAGACACCACCTCCACTTCCATGATGTCTTCCAAGCTTTCATCCTCTGCTTGCCCACCATCTTGGGTCGAAACGCCTTCTACCCAGGCTTCTTGTGTGGGTTCAACAGACCACAGTGGAACATTAACTCTTTGAAACATTTCTTCAAGCAGAACATCAATCTCCACTATGTGGTTCTTCAGGTCTGGGCTTGCAGTCTCCTCTACTGATAACCATGGTGTTTGCACCATGGCTGCCCGAGCTGCTACTTCCGAAGTTCCACCCACATAACCTGCGTTGATGAGGGCTTGTCGATCTTTGCGCTGGGTCAGAGGGAATATCTCTTGCAAGATTTTGACCTTCTTTAGGTCCTGCTGGAAGTTTTCCAAACTGGACAAGAAGATCACCCAAAGTCGTTCAACCTGTTCTTTGTCCTCTTGTCCTTGCTCCATTTCGATCAGCAGACTTAGCAGCCTCCGGTGAAGCCCTGAAACACGAGTCGATCAAGTCAACTCTCAACAGTTTGAATGTGGCACAATTGAATATGGCCAGCCACTACTTTTTGCAGTGCAGAAAAATGCAGAAAGGGCAATGTAAAATTTCTGCACCACTAGCATCGCCAAACTGTTTCCTGCCTGTCTTCTGTTTCTACTTGTCCAGTCTTACCTGAGCATATTTTATGAGCTACTGTCCTGGTTTCTTCCAGCTCCTCTCTAAGGAAGCTCCCATCCATGTTGCTCCCCAAGGAGGTGGCCATTTGCTGGAAGCAGGCTGTCACTTTGCTCAGGGCGGCCTGTGCCCGCTCGCATTCATTCACCTGCCTCTTTCTGGTTTGGATTTCCACCACCGACTGCCGCCAGCGATTCATTACCACTCGTGTGGTGAACGACCTAAACTTAATATTTAAGAGTTATTGTTGGCCTCAATATCAGAATTGGTCTGGCCTATTCTGAACTAAAATATTTGAAATTATATATGGCATAGATTTGGTCTTAACTAGATGTGAAACTTTTAAATCTTGTAGTTTTACTTTTTCTGGATCTAATCCCAATTAAATGAATAGACCATAACCATTTCTTTTGCTTAAACACAGAAATTATTTGCCGCCTTCATTAGCCTGGTTAATTATTTTTAAGTTCTGTCTTAAGAACGGTTGCACCACTTTGAAACACTTTATTTTGCCTTATTTCTGATTCAATTTAAAGGCTACACCCATTTGTATGCCTAAAATTTTATAAAAGAAAAAAGCTACTTACTGGTAACTGAGCCTCAAAGAAATCGGTCTGATTTCATAGCCTTCGGAAACTTGTTGCGAGTTGTTTTGACAGTCCTGTTTCTCAGCGTGATTACATCCGTTGGAGACACGTCTGCCAACCTCCTTGTATTTGTACGCTCACCTATGTTCTTTTTTCCAAAGCTTTTATAGAGGCTGGTCTTCAGGGACACTTGTTAAAATTAGGCCCAAACCTTGCAGTCCATGCTCCCAGAATACCTTGCGCTGGAGATCATTATGTCAAAGTTATTTCTTTCTCAGAAACACATGCAGTGTAGGGAGGACAAGGTTTTCGATCAAGAGATCCATGCATAATGAATTTCTATGTGCGGTTGTCTGTGTACTGTATATGTGTGCTTGTGGAAGTGTGTGTGTGTGTAATGTGTGTGCTGTGCACAGTGGTTTATGTGAAGTTAATTGTCCACAGGGAGAGTGGTGTGGTATTGTGGAGGAACAGACGGAGATCCTTTATTGACTCCCTTGTGGTTACTTGGGCTTGTTTGAAAGCTGTGTGCCGCTTGATGCAACACGTATGCTCCCATGGGTCAAATCTCCTGAGCAACACCAGTAATATTAACTCGTTCAGTTAGCAAAACAGCAAAGCTGTAATAGGCACTGACATAATTCCGCAGTCATAATTATAATCAACTTCACACACTTAAAATTGTGATGTAGGAGAGTATTCCTTTTATATTAAGATTCATTAATTGCTTAATTCATTACATTTTAGGATGCCAATTGCAAAGAAAATCCAATGTATCCTTTTGTTGTCCTTTTTTCAGAACTATCCACCTTTTTCCTAACAAGCCTACTGCATTTTAAATTATGGGAGGTATTTCCAAATCATTACAAATCACAAGTTTGTGCTACAAATAATCCTTATCCATTATTTTGACTGAATGGGCTGTACATTTTCATTCGCCTTCTATTTTCAGAAGTATAAATATAAAAAACAATAATTGTGGTCTGCTTTCCAAATTAAATTTACGATATACCAGTTAATTATGAATAATTCCCTGGAATGCACTAAGAATCTATCATTTTTCTCCCCAAATCCTCATGTCTCTTTCCAGGTTTGTTTTCACACAGATGCTGTAAAATGTAATTGTTACAAAATATAGACACATATCACTATAATGATATTTTACACGTCTGTAACATTGCTGCAGATAGAAGGAGGATTTTAGAAGTTATTCATGGTATGGTGAAAGTAGTTTGTTAATGCTTTTACACTTACATTTTTAATTTATTTAATCAATTTAAATTTTTACACTTTTGATGATCGATGGTTGAAGGGTGAGTAAAATAATGCCACCTCATTGTACCCAGTTTTTGAAAATGCTTATTGCATTCATAGAGCGAACCTTTTGCTGATTGTTTAGTGTAAATGGAAGTTACTCCCATAATTTGCGCAAAGCATCATGGGACGTAGGAAAAAGGTGGGTACTCAAAAAAGTGTTCAAGTATGGTAAGTGTACTTCACATTTTAATCTGGAGTTCTGTTAGATATGGAAGAATCTTTATTGAATATCTAACAGGTGGCTTTAAAGTATTTGTTCATTCTCATAGCAATGACAAACACAAATTCACTTATTTTACATATACATTACAGCTTGGCCATTGACATGCCTTACAAAGGCAACTAGGAACTTCAACGAGAACATTGAGACAATGATTGAAATTATACCACAGATATTCAGAAGATAACAGAAAACGAACCAATTCATCTAGTACTGTTGAACACATCCTGTGGTTTCCATATTAAAGTGTTGAAGGACTTCATTCTCTGTTGCGTGTTATTTATATCACAGTTGTTGAAGACCCATTGGATGAGCTAGACATGATACAAAACCACAGCGATCTGATGCAGTCCAAAATCAATACCTCCAGCTTGCATTGGTAATCAAGCTTCAACTGCTAAAGTCAAGTACAGTTGGCCCTGCATACAATGTGAGGTGAGTTACAAGGAGTTCACTGGTAGATGCTGGTATAATCTGGTGTGACGGAAAAAATGCGGTGTCTGGAATTAGTAGCTATGTGTTAATCATTTGGCTTTTGTTCTTTTACAAGACCGACCGTAGGGTGTTATGTAGCGATGGCCTCCATGATCTCGTGGCACAGACATTGGCAGAAGCCGTAGAACACGCAAAGGACCAGGGTGGAGGGCACCAGGCTGACCAAGATCACTCCCATCGTGAGCTGCTGAATCATCAGCAAGTAGATCCCCAGTGGCAGCGAGCTAAAGTAGACCAGGCAGAGGAAACTCATTAGAAAGCGAGGGACCGAACGAGACGTCCAAGCCCGACACTTCTGCACGGGAAGGTGGCAAGGCAAAGAGTCCAAGCTGGCCGGCCGATACAAGCGCACCATGTTCAACATGCTCGTAGAGTCCGAGGACTGCGACTCTCCAGGGATTTCCATGATTGTGATGACGAGGCAGTCAGAGGAGCTGTGGGCCTGCTCGCCTCCGCTTAGGCTGTTGGGTGTCAAAAGGACCTCACTGCTGGGTGTGGTGCCGCTCTTACGCGCCCGGTCCTGGTAAGTCAGAATAGCCAAAATGTTGCTGTCATCTTGAAGCAACCAGATCTCCTCGTCAGGGACGTGAGTCTCGTGGCGACAGAAGGGACAGCTGATGATGCTCGGAGACGAGTCCAGCTCCACCATCTTCTTTAGACATTTGGCACAGACCCGGTGCAAGCAGCTCAACACCTTGGGTTTGCGGGCTCGGGTGTCAAAGCGATTGTAGCAGATCTTGCACTCCAGTTCCTCCACCGTATAAATCACCGGTGCCTGGGAGCTCTCAGTCTCTGAGTCGGACTTCTGGCTCATCCTGAGAGATGGAGCTTGGCCACAGCCGAGAGGAGCGAAAGAGTCAGGAAGCAGGTGCAAATGTTCAAATTAAGCAAATTTTAGTGTGCTATAGGAGCAGCACCTGAGCACTGTCCTTGGTAGCCCTTGTTTTTCTGCTTTGCGTTAGTTTTTCACCAAAAAGGATTGCTTAAATTCATCTTTTCAAGCGCTTGCAGCATATACTGCTGATTAGAAGTCCACAAAAGCAAAATTGAGTCTTGACGGACAGCTTAACATTATACATATGTCCATGATAAGACACCCTGATGTATATATGACAAGCAGATTATACTAAAACACAATACAGAAATTCATTGCATGCTAAATGAGGATCTCCATTCACTGTCCGCACTCAATTAAAGAACTTACTTGGGTTTTTCCAGCATGGTTTAGAGAAAGACAAAACCAAAGAAGCAATAAAGAAATAAAGTTAGTTGACATCAGAGAGGTCCAAAAATAAGTTCCTTTGAAATCAGAGTCTGGACACAGAGTGTGTTTTTGCCTTGTTATCCATAACTGATTCTAGAATGATGTGGAAGAATCGCAGATTCAGATAAAGTCAGCAGAATCATCCTGAATACTGCCAGATATTTTCTTCCAGTAATGGCTACACTTGATTATGACCTTCAACTCTGAATGCTCACATTGTCCCTCCAAGCACTTTGTTCATTCTACAAAAAAATGAGAGAAGACACAGACGTGTTATGTAGATAAGAATGTAATTGTTTGCAAAATGCCAAATGTTAACACTTTGCGGCAGATCTGAAGAACGCAAGAGGGAATAGCTTGATATCTGTACTTACCTTGTGTGAGTAAAACCCTTCTAGTGTCGTTGAGCCAGCACCGCTAAAAACCCTTTGCATTCATCAAGCCCTTCCTATTAGGTGTATAGATGTCAACATAGGGGTGGGTGTGTGTGATAGAAAGCATGCACACCGCCGGCCAAAAACAGTTCTAGTTGTTCCTCCCAATATCAAGGTTAGTGGCTAGTTGTTGACTTTTTTATGTCAAATTCCTAAACTTTTATCCGCAGTATTTGGTTACATCCTTGTATATGGCAAAAATGTATGTTTCATTGACTACTTTGCTAAAATAGTGGCTAAAGGAGATCCTCATTTGCGCTAGCCATAGGCGTGGCAAGCCATTCAAGTGAAGGCCATATAAGTTGATTACAAATGTAATTAGCTCCTGTATTTCTTGATTCCCTGTGGACGTGACTCACTCCGATCTGACAGAGGCAAACAAGTGATGCAAGTGGATGTTAAAAAGAGAGCGGCAAACATGCAAATTTCATTCCCATTACGAGACATTTCATTGTTTTTCCTCCTCTCTCTTTCCATGTCTCAAAGCGCAGGTTGTTCGAATTTGCGAATTTGAAGCCAGTCTATAAATAGCATGCGTGCGGTGCTAGAGGACACAGCGTCCCCCACCTCTCTCCACCCCCCCAACTTTGATGACTGTGATAAGAACTGTCACACACTCACACACACTCGTGTCCAACAGTCGAGGATGCAGTGATGCGCTGAATTTATGACTTTGACATTGTATGGCAGCTTGTCTCTAAGGGTTCCTCAGCTCGGTCATGTAAATGGCAGCAGAGTCTGTTGAATAAAAGCCAGTGGGTCAAAACTGACATCCAAGATGAAGCGAGAGGAGCGAAGGTTAAAAGAACACAACCGTCATACAGAATATATTTGCAATTAAAACGGCAGCGAGTCAATACATGCTAAGGGCGCATCTACATTTAGCTGAGTAATCAATGCAGTTGCAGTGGAATATATTAACTGCATTATACTTGGCTGCAGACATGATTGCAGTTTTCAGTGGCTTATAAATAAAGATCTTTATTCAATGAAGAATGTGCTATTTTTAAATGCAATTTGTGTGCTGCTGAAATTCAGGGGCTGGATCTGAATTTATCATCATGTTGGCTTTAAAAAACATTGGCAAGAAAACTGAGCATGTGTAGCCTAGAATGGCAAACATATGCATCTGCCTAAATTAGTTAATACTTCTATTTATGGACCATGTCTTACGAAACCTGTCAGAAATATGAAGAAAAAGAAATTCCAGTTTTAAAATAATTTTTAGGACAATTTTCTTTATTTTTATATGTGAGGTGGAGACCTTATAGTAATTAATTAATTAATTAATTACATTACAGTAATTAAAACAACCATTAAGAATAATGGGAATTAAAACTAAAATTAAAAAATCCTCATTAACTCATTTAAGTCATGAGAAATATGGAGAAAAATGTGCTTAATTGTCATGAAAATCTCAATGCAAAAAAATCATTATTGGTCTTAAATTAAGTTTAATTGTCTTTATACAAAATGTAATTTCTTCATTTTTATTATTATAATTTTTTTTTAGGTAAAGTGAACGTGTTTATTGAGATACTCTCGAAAACTCTCAATACTGAGCTCTGTAATGAAAAATCCATTTCTATTTACTTAAATCATTGTCCGTTCAGGATATCTAAAGTGTCCTGTTTCTAAAATAATTGAATTTGAAAAGTAATAATGATGAAAAGTGTCAGTTGGTGTTTGTCATCTTCTTGCTTGGGTGACCTCTAGTGCCAGTAACTGCAGGAGATGATTGCATCTGTGTGTAGGCTATGTGTTTGTGTGAGAAGCGGAAATAAAGATGCAAGGGGCGTTCACAGGAAAACACCATCTGTGTCCTGGTCCTGTGGGTTACATAAATAATACCAGTTCACCTGCCTGCTCCAATGTTTACGTCAACTTTTGAGGAGCATGCAGGCCTTCTGAAATGCTTCTTATTTTCAGTGTTAGTTTGAACATATAAACCTTTATTTTTTTGCTCATTAAATTAATTACACTCTCTAGGATATATAATAACTCCATGTTAAGTTTAAATGGGTTAAAAAAAGGAATACTTATAATGATGCTCTGAATTTAGACCCTAGATGCATGTTAATCATCACTGATCAGTCATTTAAGTCAAACTGGTGGTTCCAGGCTAACAACTTATGTTCACAAACCACAGATGACAGTTCAGTTAGATATGACAATAAAGCCTGTTTTATTAGTTGGAATAAAGCGGATGTGTCATGTTTCTTTTTCTCTTTTTCAGTTCCTAGACAGGAAGCTTTTTTGCACTAGTGCCACAAAATGCACATTAGATGTGTAATTGATGCTTGAGAATTACAGGAGTGGATCAGGACTGAAACTAAATTCTGCAGGAAGGTACAGATCTCCTTGTGAAGGACCATTTAAAACTGACAGAACGAGGAAAATCATAAAATCACACAAAAAAAGCAATATTCTCTACCACTAGCAGAATTACAATCCAAACAGCATGTACAACTTATTGTATTTCTGTAATGTGATGTATTTCCAAGTATAACTCATATTCAGTTAGTTACAAATTGACTTTTATCCATTTTATCCATCAGGAACCCTTCTGAAATGCCACCGGCACACATTTGAGTAGGCTTTTGACTGGGACGTGGAAGCTAAAGGTCAAGTTCATCCTCAAGAGCGTCTCTTCATATATCACTGGTAACAATTCTTCATATTTATTGTTAGTTGCTATTGTTTCAGTAAATAGCTATAAATTACTGTTAACTACTGGCAAGATTCTAGAAAGGCTACATTACGTACAACAATAATGGCAGTAGTTATCTGGCCGTGTGGCCTGGTGACGTCAGCCAAAAAGTTGTTTCATATGACAGACAACAAAGCATTTTTTATATTGTGAACTTCAAAATAACATCTGGGATGTGTATTAAGAAAGTAATATTGGCACCTAGTTCAACATCTTGAAAGGAATGTGGTGTATTATCAGTAAGCGATGCACCTACAAATGATTTCTGTGCAAAACTAATGAGACCGAATGCACAATACAGGTAAATAAACCTCCTATCAATTCATTTTGACCAGTAATTTAATTTCTGCCAGAACTGACAGTAACTCATCGCACCCAGCGGAGCCGTTCTGGACATCAGCACTAAATGTACCTTTGTCTTGACAACTGAACGAAAGGATATCAGACTCTCCAGCAAAACAAGGAAAGTGATGAAGATAAACTGCTATAGAAGCATTACAGATACACTTTCAGACCAGTTCAATGTTAAAAAAAGCTTTTAAAAGCAATAACAAAGAGTTGCTGTTAAATATAGTGTGCAATCAGAGTCAAATCTACAAATTTATCCATTTGGTTTTTCATTATAGATACAAATAACTGGTCTCTTTTAAAACCAGTTTCATTTTGGAGCAGAGCCTTATTTTCTGTCACTTCTGGCCATGCAGTAAAAAAAGTGCTTGTTTTTTGTAGTTGTTGTTCCTGATTTAGTGTGACAGCTCAGTGAAGATTTCACATGCGAGTTAGCCATTCTATTCATTGAAGCGCAGGTATGAAGCAGACCAACCCACACAGGTAACCAGTGGCCTAGTTTACAGTGACCCTGTCTGAGTCCTGGAAGAAGGGGTACAGCTATATGTGGGCCCAGATTTGGAAGAGAGATATTTTGTAATGTCACTAAAAGTCCTAAATGATCAACCCATCCTCAAGTGACCCGCTGGGTTTTGCCAAGACATGCCATTTTGCAATCGGGAATATTGCCAAGGCTGAACACTGTCGCCATAAATAAGTATAATCGGGGTTGAGGTGCAAAGCACTTCTTAGACTCTGTCCATCTCGCATGTTTTTCATGAAAGCTTGGACCCTTTTGTGCAATTCTGATGCTTTTAAACATACATTAATAGTTTTAATAATATGTTTGTGTCTTGCATCTGGCACTGACTCTTTAAAGTGGCGGACTCTATTAATGATGGCATTCAAGAGGCTTTTTTTAGTGAGGTAAATACAATTCATCCTCCACATAAGACATTATATAACATGCTAAGTCTCTCTCACTCTCAGTTCTCTCAAGGAGAGTATTCACAGTTCATTAGTGAGGAGTCTGATACTGCTAGATATCATGTGCTCAATACAATAACTCTTCAAATCATTCAAACCGCTCTTGACAACTGATTTGTGCATACTGTAATAACAGAAATAGGCTTATATTTATTTTATTTATTAAGCATTTTTAGGTGCAGACTCATTCTCAGAAAGAGTTTGACTAATTTTCACATCCATCAGTTAAAATGTTGAGAGTTATGAGAGATATGTGCAATGCTTTAGTCATGGAGCCAGTTGGCAAACGATAAATGACAGGAAGACCTATGCAAATTAATCACATGAGCTGTTTATAAAACCATTATAGATAAGGTTCATATTAGGCTACTAATCGAACTAATACAATCTCTTTAGCTACAAAAACATTCACAAGCTGCTATTTTAATGTCCATCGCTGGTTTAGATCCAACAGGTATGTTTTACATTAATCGATTCGGGTGGATTTTATTAGAGCAACAGAAGAACAACAAATGTACTGATATTATAAAACGATTCTAGTTTTTGCATTAAACAAACACAAGTTGTGGCTAATCGCGTAAATAACGATATCTGTCGTGGCGAGAATTACGATGTTTGTTATTTGACGATTTTACGTCGCGCCTTCGCTTTTCTAGCTCATAAGCCGTTTTAGTATTTAAATGACAGCTCGGATAAATGTGATTAATTATTCAAACTAATTTGCCTCACATGTTTGCCTTTGGAAAAAGTCGCGGCTAACGTATATGTCCATCGAATGCGTTGCACTGAAGCGTTGTTTATGCGTTGAAAATTCGTATAAACATTTGATTAATCATTTAATGACAAGACTCGAGGTTTATATCATAAGCTGTAAACGTTTATAATCCGCAGTTATCGCCAATGACACTCACCCTCAGGTCTTTTCCAGCCTTGTCCTTCCAGTCCAATATAACAATCGTCTATTACCGTCACATTTTCCTTTTCTCGTCGCTTTGTGGTGAGTCACAGTCAATCTTGAGGTCCCATCTGTCCGAGCACAACTGCTACATCCCCCTCATTGCGGTACTGCTACAGCACCAGAAGATGCACGGATTTCTCCTCCGTGGTTGCTGTGGCAACAGGAGCCAGCGCGAGCTCCGACCGGTGTCCACCGAACTAACGCGTTTGACTTCTCTTACCGGACGCACGTGAGCACTGTTCGGTGATGATAGACAGGCTCCTTTGACGTTGATTCGGTTGTTTTTCAGACACGCAAGGATCATTTTGACATTGATTTCCCCCCAGAAAAACGTAAACTCATCAAGCGCATATTAAATCTACTGTGCATATTAATTGATTAGTATTTTTTTCTCGTTTTATACAAGGTCATAATGAATAAGTGTATTTTAAGAAATACATTTGTTTTTATTATGGTCTGGGATGCTCTTTTGTCAGTGGTGTTACACTTGGGAACCA